GTATATGATGTCACTAAACCAAACCATTAGAAAATCTTAGAATCTTGAAAGAGATGTAACAAATATCGCAATTATCATTACAGTTTTAATTAACTATTTAGAGAGAATACAGTAATATAAATATCTTATAGAGGATCCAGATAAATGTTTAGTTTTCTCAACGAGTGAAGCACCAATATCTCTCCTGATAGTTGGCACTTACAATCACCTTCCCTGAATTTTAACCAGGCTGTAACTAAAGTCTGCTTTAAGGGTATGTTTAATTTCACACAAGCCTCATTTATCAATAATCTGCAAAGTAAACTAAAATAAACGTAGTGGGCAGTAAAAAATAACCAGGTAACCTCTGAATGTAGTGGAGTAGAATACAAGTAAGCAATGAGCCTAGTCATCCAGATGGGTATATATAAATGAATGCCATCTATGGATACAAGCGAATATTTCACCACATTTAAGCTACCGTCATTTTCAGACTATAAGCCGCGCCTTTACCCTTTGTTTCAGACGCTCTGCGGCTTATATAAACGGTGCGGCTAATTATGGATTTTTACAGCAACCGGCCAACACCTTTAACTCTATGGCAGGGGTGTCAACTCAAATTCATCGCGGGCCACATTAGCATTATGGTTGCACTCAGGCCGGTTGTAACCATATGAATATAATACATATATATATATGATATACAAATAATGTATTATATAAATTATTGCCTCTGAATGGAATTATTATCGATAGGGGTAATAACTTAGTAATATACCCTCTGAAAGCAGCAGAGTCCAGGGCAAATAATGTGCTCTCTTTCAGTGCGCATGTCACAGTGGCAATGCATTGTGGGAACATGTTGTCTGTAAAGTGGCATGTAACCGGTATAAGAAGACGTATTATATTCTTTTCAAGCTCTTGCGGGCCACATCAAATGAAGTGCGGGCCGGATTGGCCCCCGGGCCCCTTGAGTTTGACACCCCTGCTCTAATGGGCTCTATGGCCGGTCCCCCGGACCCCCCACCCTTTAAGCGGCCGGGTGCCAGCAGGACAAAGCTGGAGCCCGGAAAAGAGGTGAGACAGGTAGCGCGCAAAAGTAAAAGTGGAACCGAGAGTGGTATGCCGCTGCTGCGGCTTATATTCAGGTGCGCCTTATAGTCCAAAAATTACGGTACTTACATGTTTTAAATTTGTACACACCAATTTGTTTCCTCGCCTAAACCTCCAGGGCTGTACACAGTTTAATACTGTCAACTTCTAATTTTGGGAAAAACGAAAACGTCTTTTAAAACTACAATTCCCAGTAGAGACGTGCCATAGAGAACATGTTGCAAAACACAATAGCCAGCATGTGTAGTTCTGGGGGGGCGTTCGAGTCCAGTTTTGAATAGTCTGCCGTGGTTTCGTTCCATTTCAAAGAGCTTGATGCTCGGTGTAACCTTGGCGCACTGCCACTCCAACATCCAATCCCAGTGCTTGAAGATTAATCAAGGGGTTTGTCAACGGGACTGTAGTCCCAAACGATAGCTGGGGATTATGGGTAGTGTAGTGTCTTCGGCCATCCTAAACTCTGAATTTTTTTTCGGATATCATATCGCATTAACACCACATCCCAACGTGCATTGCGGCTAAAACATCCAATCAGCGAACATGCTGTACTTGGAAGTTACTTTGTTTCATTTTACACTGTTACTGTAAATAACAACTTGTAAATACTGTGATTACCTTTACAGTATGTAACTGGCAGCAATTGACAAGTTACTTACTGTAATTCATTTTACAGTATGTAACTTGTCAATTGCTGCCAGTTACTACTGTGCATTTCACGGTACGTTTCTTACAGTGTGCAATTGTTTTGGCATACTCTTTTTTGCTATGCAACTGTGCAAATAATGAGGTATGTTGCATTCCTGACTCAAGAGGTTGATGCTCTAATTAAGCAACAAATAAATGTAATTGTGCCTGTGTTATTAGCATTGATCATTAGCAACAGTCCAGAAGGGAACAAGCAGACACAGCATGGGTTGAATACTTTTGAAAATACTTTGAGCATTATACACTGGCAAGTACTATTGATAGTTAAATGTGCCAGAGCAGACCAAGAACGTGCATCCATCCCAAGTTTCTATAGTGTAAAATCCATGGGGGCCAAGATTTTGAGCATGATATGAAGCCATAACCCATAGTCTTTTGCTCATGCAGTTAAATAAACATTGTTGAAAGAATATCCTGTAAAGCACAGGAGGTTAGCTCATGCTGTGGTTTATTTAAACATTGTTGGAATCTCTACTGGGATGTAGACAATGTCTGTATGGGATGGGGATTAATGAGAATGTGAGAGAACATATTTCAAGCAATGTCTTTTGTTCATATTATATAATAGTGTTGATAGTAAGAGCATGGCTTTGTGTTATAATGTTCTAAGCTGAGCATCGGCATTGTGCAAAAGTTTGAATGAAAGTTGAAGGCCTCACTGGTGCACAAATAGAACAGAATAACAAAGAAAACAATAGAGTTTCTGTTTTCACGTGTATTGTTTGCAGTATATTTTAAGGGTTATAAAGTGTTTTATAATATTGCAAG